CACTGAAGCAGGGGCAGGGCAGGGAATCTGGCTTTGTGGTGGAGGTGAGTCCACAGCCACAAGAGTCCCAGAGGCCACTTGGTAAGGGGTTGGGGGTACAGAGTGCAAAGGGAGGCTCCAGTTAAATCCAAGGCTTTGTCCCCCTCTGGGAACTGTTCTGATGGTTAATCGTGTGTTCCGGGAACCATGGCCAATGCTGCTGTCTCTGGGGCAGTGTTTTCTCTGTGCTCCTCACTAATCCACTCAGCAGTCTCATCTGAACCTCTTCTCAGTTCCCAGAACCCCTTAAGCCAGCTTGCAGGAGGACTACAAATGAGATGGGCATTGGGTCAGGCGAGGGGAAGACCCCCAGGCTAGGAGGAATGGGGCTGGGCAGAGGAGACTCTGGAAGAAAGAAAGGAGAAAAATCCTCTGGGCTTAGAAGTGGCTCTCTCAAGGAACCCAGATCTCAAAAGTGATCCTTGTGTTTCCTCCCAGCAAATTTTGATTCCTAGTCAAGACCCATCTGTCAAATGTCCACTAGGAATCAGATAATGCAAAAGGCGATTCCACTTTCACTTAATTCTCACAGTCATCCTGGAGTTAAGGATCATTGTCCCCATTTCATATAGAAGAAAATAGAGGCACAGAGAGTTAATATAATTGTCCTCAGTGACAAGCCAGTAAGACTTAAACTCAGGTCTGGCCACCTCCAAATATGAGGTTCAGCCCCATGAAGCCCATCTAAGCTGCCCCATGCTCTGTTTGTAGCATTTGTTTAGAAGTTTGGTGAGATAGTCATACTTGTCTACTTCCCATCTGAGAGACTGACAAAATTGGGGTTTCTTTATATTTATGGGGGGTCTGGGAAATGCATGTTCCCAGAGAAAGAGGAGACAAAATCAAGTGATGACCAATTCTTTCTACTCCCTTTTGCTCTTCTGAACTCAAATTGTGCCATTGTGCCTTGTTGACTTAACAGAACTCTGCTCCAAACCCCTTTTCTCATAAAACATTCAAAGATCTTGGAGGCATTTTTTTTTTAAGGATGAACCTGCAAATGGCTCTTTCAACCCAGGAAACCTTGTATGGGTTAACTGGGCTCCAGTCCCACATTTGCTACTGACCTACTCTTTGACCTTGGATCAAATATTTGACCTTAGATCAAACCTCTCTAGGATTCAGGAAGGGACTGAGAACATAATCTGAAAAAAAAGGAGCTTTTCAGGAACAAATATAAAGCAGTAACTAAAGGGCATATTATCTGTGCAAAATTATAAATATCAGTGGCATAGATCAGAAATCAGAAAGGAACCCAACCACATATAAAATTTGCCAAACGAAACTACATTTCAAACAATAGATAAAGAAAGGGTTTCTTTTTTCTTTTTTTTAAATATTTATTTTTTAGTTGTAGTTGGACACAATACCTTTATTTTATTTATTTATTTTTATGTGGTGCTGAGGATCAAACCAAGGGCCTCGCATGTACTTAAGCAAACCCTCTACCACTAAGCCACAGCTCCAGCCCCCAAGAAAGGGTTTCTTAATAAGCAATACTGGTGAAACTGGATAGGAGTAATATCCAGGTGGAGTAAAGGGATATATGATTTTTTTTTTTAATCATAAAAAGTAGTAGGAAACAAAAGGGCATCCTTATGAGATCCAGAGAGGGATGCAAACTGTCTTGGGTCTAAAGCAATGGAAGGAAGAGTGGAAGAGAAGCCCCACTGATTCAACAGTAAAAAAATAAGATTTTTTTTACAACGATATTGTACTATCACAACCAACAGATTCATATTTATGGTAACGTTAAAAATCTATTTAAATATTTAGAAAACCATCAAGATCCCAAAGAAAAGAAAAGATATTTCCCTCAAGGAAAAATCTGAGTAGAAAACGAAAACATGGAACATCTGGGAGTTGAACTGTAACCCTCAGATTTCCTGCCTGGGGTGACTTCTGCAGCCCAAGGGGAAGCAGAAGGGGGCTGTCAAGGGATGGCATGGATTGGCTATGCTACATCCCCACCTGAGCAGACCAGATAAACGCCAGAACAACAGGGACCCAAGGACAGGGGTCACCTACTTTTTTCACCTCCAATACCCACAAAAGGCATCCTGAACATTTGGTTGAAGGGAGACCCCCATGGGACCAACAAGGCCAACATCATGGGGTCCTGTTAGCTTCATGCTGTGTCAAGGAGTTTCCACATGCTGAAGAACCACACAGCTTGGAGGAATTGGTTCAATTCCATTTCTGACACAGAGCCCAACAGACCCCAGTTTGAAACTGGGTGACCACTGGTATCCCATTGATCCAAGAAGGGGAGGAAGGATGTGCCTGACTAGACTGACCTCCCCTGCCACTGACCTCTAGAAAGTGAATTCTGGAGGCAGGGACTCATGATAGGTGGCATGTCCCATTCACCACAATTTGACCTACCAAGACTGTCCACTTGGTAGGAAATGATGGGGAGGCTGCCTCAACCCCCACCCTCTTCCCCAAGTGTGCCAGGTGCACCAGTGTCCCAGAGGAAGAGGCAGGAAGGAGAAACTCTAACAGCTTTCTGAACAACCTGAGACCAAATATCCACTGGAAAGGCTTCATCCCTGCTCCTTGTTGAGCCCTGTCAGGGGAACAGTCAAAAGATAGCTAATAGCACGGGGGCAATGAATGCACATGGACTGGACATCTGCCAGAGGTCAAAGTCATGCTTAGGAGCAGCTCTCCTTAAACACAAAGCACCAACAGGAAGGAAGAAACCGGCTTCTGATGCCTCAGGAGGGATGGAGAGTAGGCATCATGTGGAAATTATTATGAGATAAAACTGTCCAAAGTTTTGGTAGTTTCTTTCCTAGAATTAACTTTGTCCAGAAATGATTTCTAGGTGGGCTTCTCCAGAAGCAGGGGGATGTTCTTGGTGATATTCAGGACCTCCCTCCTGAAAATGAAATATTGGGTACACATTCTCTCTGCTCCCTGGAGTCCCAAATGCTTCCCACTAAAAATTCTCCTCCATTCATCCAAATGGTTTGTTTTTAAATGTACACACACACCCATAGGAACTGGCAAAGGAAATTAATCAAAAAATGTGAAAGACACAGAGAAAAAAAAAACAACATGATACACTTTGTTCTAGGTTCTGATTCTAAATCTGGCAGGAGGTGTGAAGGGCTGGCAGCTTGGTGGTAGCCATAGCAGTGGCAGCAGTGGGCTCCCTCCTGCCTTGGGCTTGGGGTGCCAGGCCAGCAGCTGCTATACCCTTAGGAACCAGAGGGAGAGTGGGTAGCACTCAGGAGCCCAGGGAGAGATGCTCTATCCTGTAAGGACAGCAGCTGGTGGATGCACTGCAGCAGAGCCTTATGGGTAATGTAAACGATAACCCCAAATCCTCAGTCCAGGCTCACCAAGTCCTTCACCTGGAAATTCCATGGCTTCAGTCCCACTTGGGCATCTGTGTTTAGCTGGCTCTTCAAATTATACCAAAGTTGTCATTTTTGCCAACCCTCCTCCCCCATCCCCCCTTTTCCCTTTCCTCCTAGCTTCTGAATCTCAGGTAATGTGGACCCTCCTCAGCTCTGCAGGTCTATTAAGATCTTTCTGTTCTCCTATCACATGTCCCTCTCTCTGTCCATGCTCATTGTTATCTTCCAAGTTGTATTATTACTTGGATAAATGTCTCCCAAAAGTCCATATATTAAGGGCTTGGTCCCCAGCTTGGAGCTATTAGGAGGTCAGGCCTAGTGGGAGGTCTTTAGGTCATTGGGGGTGTGTCCTCAAAGGACCCCCCTCCCTTTGCTCTTTGGCCATGAAGTGAGTGGCTTTTGCTTCACCAGAATGTGCTGCTCTAGGCCCAAAAGCAGTGGGGTCAACCAATCATCAACAGGAACCTCCAAAACTATAGGCAAATTAAGCCTTTCCTCTTTGTAAGTTGACGATCTCAGGTATTTATTGCAGCATTGGAAAGCTGACTAACACAAGTGAGTCTGTTCTTGGCAGCAGGTCCCTGACCAGCTTCTCATTCCTGCAATACACCTCACCTATCTCACTACTACACAGGATCTTTCCAAACACAGCCTGGATCCTGAAACAACCCTGCTTAAAAACTTTGAAACACTTCCCTTCCCCACAATAAAGGTCTGGTTCAAGCTGTTGTTTCAGCCTTATCTCCCTCTCTAACCCAGCATATCTCCTCTGGCCCAAACAGACTCATCTCTTCAAGTTGTGTAACTTAACATCTATGACACTGTCATCTCATCCTCAGACCGCAGCGCTCACTACCCCCCATCACTAGGACATCTCTCTCCTACAGACCACGAGGGGAAAGCAAATGCACAACAGCACCTGAGTACCAAGCAAAGAAAAGAACCACTTCCTTGTTGAAGGTCAAATGTCCATTTCCCGGCTCCAAAGCCAATACTAGGCACTCCCCACTCCATTCCTGGCATCTAGACTCTAGGCATTGCAAATGATAACAAACTAATTTCCATTTGTAACCTCCAGTACTCCCTCATCATTATTGCAGAATTAAAGAAATAAAATTCGCCTTCAAAAGAGCTCATATGGTGAGGCACTCCCCAAGGATGGCAGAGATTTGACTTCATGGTGTCCATGGACCTTTGATGACGGAAGTAGAAAGAAAGCCTGATGGTTAACTCTAGCCCTTCCCCCACCTCCCCAGCCTCCTACTGCAAGTCCCTTGATTACAGAAAACTTCCCAGGCATTCAACACATGTTGTATTGTAGAAACAATCCGGTTTCTACATGGTATGAATCCAGCTCTGGTGCAGTGGGAATTGGGAGGAAGAGAGGGAGGGATTCTCTTAAGAGAGCCGGTGGTTTCCTCCTGATACCTGGAGAGCAGTGTTGCCCAGCCCCAAATGCACTAGGCCACACCTCCACCCGACGTCACCACCTCAGAAGCACAGAGCTAGGGAAGCCCACGCAAAGCAGGGAGAGGGAGACTGATTTCAGAGAGGGCTGGAAGGAAGGGGGGGGGTATTTAACTGCTCACATACCTGATCAAACAGGACTTTCCAGTGCTGGCAGAGAGGGAGGCCATGCAGGAGAGGAGGAAGAGAAAGAAAGAAAGACACACTTATCACCAAGGTCTCTGTAGCCTCCTGATGTTTCTGACCTAGCCTCCCAGCTACTGCCCAGGAGTCATAATTAGGCTCAGGGACTGGCCACAAGAATCCGGGGAAAACCTGCTTAACTGTTCCCAAGTGAACAAATAGAGGGAAGTCACAGTAGCGGGTGGGGATGGGGGCAGCAAGGTGGGTGTCTCAGGTATGGGACAGTCACGTGGAGATATGAGTAGAACAAGGATGATTCTCAAAAATTACCAAATAAAGGCATACATTTCTGATCAAGGGCCTCTGATAACTTCTGCCTAAAGTTTATGTCCATATCTACTCCCACGCCTCTGAATGCATGCCCAGGTGCAATTCCCTCAGTCCCTGCTGGGGCCAAGAGCCCTGCTAAGGAGAAAGGACTCCTGCATAAACATTAACATTTTGCCTGCAGGATTTTGGGTTGGGGGGAGGGCGGTTTCCCAATGTGCTGAAACTCACCCATTCTCTTCCAAGGTTCAGTCTTAAACTGTGGGTACACGAGATTCTACCACGGGTTTGGCGCCCAAAGGAAGTGATAGATTTAACCATAGAAGCCTGAGACATGTTAAACTCCCCGCCCCATTCAGATTTTCTGGTTTTGGTTTTGTAGGTTGGGGGCCTGGTTTCACTTCCATCTTTCCTCCCTGAGGGAGGGATGGGGCCGAGCAGGGTGTCTGCCCAATTTTTCATTCCTATTTGTAGGTTAACCCCGGGAGGCAGAAGCTTAAGCAACTCCAGTTCCCAGGGCTTCCCAGCGCTGGATCTGCGGTCGGCGTGATGGAGACCCGAACAGCAGATGGCAGGGAAGATCTTTGGGGTAGCCCCTCCCTGGTCTCGCCCAGGGGACTGTCCCTAGCTCCGACGTGATCTCAGACTCTTGAGCTCCCTTCTAGGAGCAAAACCGCTTTCAGCACTCCTTCTTTCCCTGCTCTGGCGGGGTTTATGGACAGGGGGCAGTTTGAATTTCAAACAGTGTTGCGACAAGGCAGGTGTCCGGGAGGGAGCTAATCAGGAAGAAGAGGCTCGCCAGACCTGTGTGCGTTGCGGGAGACAGGGGATTCTGCGGCGCCCGTTCTTCCCAGGGCTCAGAGTCCGCAGGTCGCGAAAGAGAGGGGAGGGGGAGTCACTGCTGTGACGCGGCCGCCTCTGCAGGAAAACGCCGTGTCCCGGGCACTGCACCAGCCGCGGGGAGGGGGCTCCCGCGGCCGGCAGGTCCCTGGCGCAGCGGCCAGGGCTGTGTCCCGCAAGGAAGCCGCGGGAGCCCGAGCAGGGGCTGGGGTGGCGCGCGTGTGCACCTAGGGGAGACCGTTCCCTCCGCCCCCTCAGGTTCTTGGGGACCCGGCCAATCGGGGCGCTCCGGCATCACCTTGAGACCTTCAAGTTGCCCCGCGGGGGTGAGACGGAGACTGTACTCTCCCTGGCGCCCCCCAGAAAGTTTGCCCGGGCGGAGGAGGGGGTACTTACATCCTCCGGCGCCGCGGGCAGCCTCTCATTGGCTTCAGGTTCCAGCTCCTCGATGCGCTCCGCCTCGGCGCAGGCGGCCACTGCGGGGCCGGGGCTAGGATGCTCGCCCATGGCCGAGGTGGGGTCCAGGGGCGGCCGGCTGTTGCAGCGCTCGTCCCGGGGCGCCGGGCTAACTTTGCGCCGCGCCCGCCGCGCTGCTCCCGGGGCTCAGAGCGCGCCGCGCCGCCTCCGCGCCAGCCCCGCAGCCCGCGCCCGCCCCCATGGCCCTGGCCCCAAGCCGCCGCCGCCGCCGCCGCCGCTTACCGGCGACCCTGGGATGCCCGGCCCCCAGCCACCAAACTTCTCCGCGCTCGCCACCCCGCCGACCTCCGCCTCCGCCACGGCCCTGCGCCCGGCTCCGAGGCGAGGGCGCCCTTGGGCCAGCCCCGGCCCCGCCGCTCCCCGCACTCCCTTCCCGCTCTGCGCGGCCCCCGCTCTGCGCCGGAGTCTCCTCCTCTCCGCGGACTCCTCGGGGGCGGCGCGCGGGCGGGGGCGGGGCGGCGCGGCGCTCGGGGCTCGCGGCCCCCGCCCCCCAGCCGAGCCCGGACGCCACCGCCCGCGCCGTGGCGGTCAGAGCTGCGCGGCCCCGGGAGGAGGGAGAGCTGCAACGGTGTTGGCGGGGAAGTGGCTGCATCGTCCAGGGTGGGGATGGGGACTGCGCTCTCCCCTGCCCCGTGAACAGCAGCCTTCTCTTGGAGCCGGGGTTCATCTCCCTCACCCGGTTAATGATAATTTGGAGGCAACAGATATGTGACGGAGGTAGAAGAGAGATTTACACTAAGGTGGCAACGTCAGGGTTAACAAGGAATGAATTGGGGGAGGGATGCCCCCTCAACTACCTCTGTTCATGAGGGTCCCAGATGCTGGGAGGTCCCTCCCGGGACGCCTATGGATGGGAGTTGTCAGATAAGAGAGGCCCCGAGACTTCAAACCCTAAACCTTGAACTCCCTACCTCAGAACTACATGACTGCCCAGACTTCGTTTAACCACATTGAGCCCAGGGAAGGAAGAAAAGAAACTAAAAAGCAGGAATGAAGTTAGCAAGAGTAAAAGATCTTTTAAGTGGGGAGGACCTGGGGCTGTTTCCCTATGGGAAAGAGCCCCCAAGAAGATCGTATCCCCTAAGCAGAGGCTCTGTCTGTAACTGGTGGCAGTGGCCAGCTGGAACAGGTGCCCAGCTCTCCCTGGAAGACTCAAGGGCTCTTTCCTGATGATATCTCCCAGTAGAAGCGAGACTGCACCAAGTCTGTGCCCTTCCAAGCCTCTTCCAACTACCCACTCACTCACTGGCCTTTGCCCCTCTGCCTTCATCTCGGAAACTGAGGCTCTGCAAGTTGCAATTAATGCTCTCATCTTCATAAGGCAAACCCATAACCCCAGTCCCAGGATCCCACCTGTGACCAGCTCATCCAGCAATGACTGCTCCCCTTAAAACGCAAAGAAGGAAATGAACTCCTTTCTAATTAGGTGAGTTTGCTACAGACACCAATTTTCATCTCAGTTTCAGAAAGTGTGATCATTTCAACTATTTTTGTTTCTCACCACCCTCCCCCAATCTCTACTCTACTAACAAGTCAAGATCCTGCCAAGATTTCCTTGTAAATAAAACTGTCTGCATGGAGTGTGATTTTGAAAACAGCCTTCAGGGGACAGAAGAGGAGCTGGCTTCTTTGTGGAAAGAAGCCCAGAAGGATAAGCATCTACTAGGGACCCTGAGGTCAGTGTCCCTGCCTCTCTCACTCCATGCTGTCATTTGCATGACTTGGGTGCTGACTCTGTTACACTCAGATCTTTGGGGCCTGGAGAAGTGAGCCAGGAAGCCTGGTTCCAGGGGAACTTGCAGGAGAGGACACACAGAGGAGTTGGCTACTCCGCTAAGATAACCCAGAAACCCTGAAGTATTGACTCCAGCTGCTCCTTGAATTCTGTCTCTTCTCCAGCCCAGGGACATCTCTCATTAACATATCCAACCCTGCCATTCCCTCAGGTGCAAGGAACCTTAGCAGTCTCAGTTAAACTCCTGAACATTTATTGAGTTTCTACTAAGTACTAGTGATAGAGCTTTAGGAGTAAGAGATAAATAAGACCCAGACCCTGTCCACCAGAAATGGTTTAATTCAGGACAACAGTCATGCTCAATACCAGGATAAGTCCTGGATTCCAGGGGAATCCAGAGGATACAGAAGCCAAAGGGGAAGGTTCATGTGGATCCAGGAAATCTTCTCAAAGGATATGCCCCCCAGATCTAGGCAATGTGTGGGAAGGTGAAGAGGAGGCATCCAGGCAGAAGCAACAGCATGAGCAAAGGGTTGGAATGAGAGATGGCATGCCATAGGAGGGGAACTGCAAGCCATTTGTCCTGGTTTAAAATAAGACCAAGATGTTCAATGTAAAGAGTCAGCCTGGAGGGAGAGGGTTGTGAAGGGCTGTGAGTTTCCTGAGAAAAGCCCTTCACCCTAAGGGCAACCGGGAGTCACTGAAGGATTATGAATATGAGAGTAACATTTTAAAATGTCCCTCCTGGTGGAGTGCAGGTGGTGCTCAGCTGTACTCCCAGCTACTTGGGAGGCTGAGGCAGGAGCATGGTTTTGAGCCCAGTAGTTAGAGGCCAGCCTGAGCAAAAGAGCAAGACCCTGTTTCAAAAAATAAAAGACCCCCCTCTAGCTGTAGTTCAATAAGAAGTTTGATCTAAGCATGGGGACAGGAGTAGTACCATCCACTGCAGGGTCATAAGATCAGCAGCGGTTAGATGAAAGGGCAAAGTAAGGATCTGAGAGGTATTCAGAGGGGTATCTTGTTCCTCCTTCTCTCCCCTGAAGCAGTTGTCTCCTACTGGCAGTATTCCCAAAAGTCTCCTAAGAAAGAATTTCAGCCTTTCACCAGATTTCTCCCTTCAGCAGATCTCTTTCTTCTCCCTGACTCCGGCTTGAAGGAGAATAACCATCTGGACTTGGAGATTATTGGGATGAATTGCGATGCCCAACAATCTCTCACCTGATGTCCTTAACATTGCTTCAGCCACACCAGCTTCACCTCAGTCCCAGGGGACTCTGCAATCAGGTACAGCCAGCTCCCCAGCAGACAATGGGACATGGGGTCTGGGACCCAAGACCTAGTAACCTCCAAGGGATGGGAGTGGCCATGGAGTATCTTAGACTGCTAGCTTTTATCCTATTCTAGCCTAACACAGCTGAAGGACTGGGACCTTCTGCTCAAGGGGAAGGAATGGTCATGGTGTCTCACTTTCACTCAAGACCTGCCATGGGCTAGGCATTAATAGATGCCAGGGGATGTGCTACACACACCTGCCCTGGCAGGACTCTTGGGGTGTAGGGAGAGATGACAGCAAACAAGGCATATACCCTGCTCTTCATTTTGTCAGCAGTCCACACCCAGGAACTCTTTTAAAAGTTCCCAGCTCACGGTTTGGAGGTTTCAGTCCATGATCCATGCTGTGGTGAGGCAGCACAACATGGCAGGAGGATGTAGCCGATCAAAACTGGTTTACCTTGTGACCGGGAAGAAAAAGAAAGGAAGAGGAAAAGAGTGCAGTTCCACAATCCCCTTCTAGGGCAAATCCCCAGAGACCTAAAGATCTCCCACTAGGCCTCAGCCCTTAAAGATCCCACACTTCCCAAGAGCACCATCCTGGGAATCAAGGCTGTAATCCATAGGCCTCTTCAACATCCGGACTCTTACATTGGGAAAGAGGGGTTCAGAAGAGCTGTTGAGATGAACCTCGAAAGACAGGGGCAGCTTTGGGGTGGGGAATGTGGAAGGGTTTCTGGGTAGAGGGAACCACTGTAGCAGAGATCGGAAAGCTGTTGATCATGTGGGGAACCATGAAGTGGCTGGGCACAAAGTAAGCGTGGCCAGGCAGATGGGGAAGACGTGGCGGACGTCCTTGTGGGCCAGTCTGAGGAGGCTGGGGAAGCAGGGATGGCTTCTAAATAGAGTAGCATTTTAGGAAGATGAAGCTGGCAGCAGCCCACAGTGCCATGCAATGACATACTGTGAGTGTCCATGGTTGGCCAGGGTCTGGCAAAGGTGCTGGGAACCCAAGCCCTGGCCTCCTGGGAGAAAGTTAGATAACCCTCTAATTACAGCCCAGTGGGATAACGGGGGAAGGCAGTGGAGAGGGAATGCACCCTCCGATGATGTTCAGGGAGCAGCTGATGTTCTGAACCTGGGAGCTAACAATGCAGCTGCCCTTGAGAAGCCAGGAGGATGTGTTAGGCGCGGGAAGAGGAGGGGTGAGGGGAGCCAGCAGTTTGTTTGTGGATACCTTAAGCTAATGAGAAGCCAGGGAAGGAACATTAAAAGCTGTAATTATCGCTCAAAGTAAATGGAGGTGCCTAGAAAGGCGGGGTGGTGGATCAACAGGGGTGACTTTTCATCAGAACCTCCTCTGCTGGGTCTCTTCTTCAATGGTTTCCCACTCTCCCATTTCCCCTAGCCAGGCCCACACCCTCTGCAGCTCCTTCTCTCTCTAAAGTAAACCTAAGCTGACCCTCTCCCCACCTGTAGCTCCCATCTTCTGAGAAACTGGCAAACCAGCCCTGAGCTGCCGCTGTTTGCCTGCCGGAGATGAAGACATAAGTTATTTTTGACTGAGATCCAAGCCTCGGCCCCGAATTCTTTTGTCTTCCAGGAATCCCCCAGTCATGTTTGAAGTCTGCAAGTCCAAACAGCAGACAGAGCTCAGGGAGGAGACCGCCACGTGGAATCTACCCACCCTCCATCCCCATCTCCAGCCTTCTTCCGTGGTTGCCCGCTGTCTGCCAGATCAAACAGAACAAGGTGGCTAAGCGGATTTTTTTCCCCTTTCCTTTCGTCTCTTTCTTTCACTCCAATTTTCTGAGTTACTTAAATCATTACTGAAAGATGTCCAGGTTCACAGACACCATACCCTTTCAAAGAGAGGTGTGGGCACTTAAAAGCTGAGCTCAGAAAAGCACAGAGGAAACTTTCCCAGTCCTAAGATGTAGCCAATCACACCTTCAGGAAACTCTGATGCTTTACTTCTTCAGGTCTTACCTTCCTTCCCAGCCACCTCAGTGGGGCTTGACTGGTCCCCAGGGATCCATTCCTGGATCCTCCTTGGATCTGCAGTATTGCTGTATAACTTTTGATTATGCAATAGAAGATCCTTGTCTGTTCAGTGAACATCCCGTCCCAT